GGCATGATCTAAATGTTGTGTTATTGTTAGGTTAAGCTACTACAGGGCATGATCTAAATGTTGTTTTACTGTTAGGTTAAGCTACGGGACATGATCTAAATGTTGTGTTACTGCTAGATTAAGCTACTACAGGGCATGATCTAAATGTTGTGTTATTGTTAGGTTAAGCTACTACAGGGCATGATATAAATGTTCTTTTACTGTTAGGTTAAGCTACGAGACATGATCTAAATGTTGTGTTGCTGTTAGGTTAAGCTACGGGACATAATCTATGTGGTGTGTTACTGCAAGGTTAAACTGTGATCTAAATGGTTTGTTACTGCTAGGTTAAGCTATGATCTAAATGGTTTCTTACTGCTAGGTTAAGTTAAGGGAAATTATCTATATGGTGTGTTAGTGTTAGGTTAAGCTAAGGGAAATTATCTATATGGTGTGTTAGTGCTAGGTTAAGCTAAGGGAAATTATCTATATGGTGTGTTAGTGTTAGGTTAAGCTAGGGACATAATCTATCTGGTGTGTTACTCATAGGTTAAATTACAATCTAAATGGTTTGTTAGTGTTATGTTAAGCTAAGGGATATAAATTTCCCTTAGTTTAACCTAACAGTAACACAACATTTAGATCATAGCTTAACTTAACACTAACACACCATATAGATAATTTCCCTTAGCTTAACCTAGCAGTAACAAACCATTTAGATAGCTTAACCTAACAGTAACACAACATTTAGATCATAGCTTAACCTAACACTAACACACCATATAGATCAAACCATTTAGATTGTAATTTAACCTATGAGTAACACACCAGATAGATAATTTCCCTTAGCTTAACCTAGTAGTAACACAACATTTAGATCATAGCTTAACCTAGCAGTAACAAACCATTTAGATCATTTAGTGTTATGTTAAGCTAAGGGATATAATCTATATGGTGTGTTACTGTTAAGTTAAGCTATGATTTAAATGATGTGTTACTGTTAGGTTAAGCTATGATCTAAATGATGTGTTACTGCTAGGTTAAGCTACGGGATATGATCCAAATACTGCATTACTGTTAGATTAAGCTATGATCTAAAAGGTGTGTTACTGCTAGGTTAAGCTGTGGGATATGATCCAAATATTGCATTACTGTTAGATTAAGCTATGATCTAAATGATGTGTTACTGTTAGGTTAAGCTATAATCTAAATGATGTGTTACTGTTAGGTTAAGCTATGATCTAAATGATGTGTTACTGTTAGGTTAAGCTATGATCTAAATGTTGTGTTACTGTTAGGTTAAGCTATGATCTAAATGATGTGTTACTGTTAGATTAAGCTATGATCTAAAAGGTGTGTTACTGCTAGGTTAAGCTAAGAGACATGATACAAAAGGTGTGTTACTGTTAGATTAAGCTATGATCTAAAAGGTGTGTTACTGCTAGGTTAAGCTATGATCTAAATGATGTGTTACTGTTAGGTTAAGCTATGATCTAAATGTTGTGTTACTGTTAGGTTAAGCTATGATCTAAATGATGTGTTACTGTTAGGTTAAGCTATGATCTAAATGTTGTGTTACTACTAGGTTAAGCTAAGAGACATGATACAAAAGGTGTGTTACTGTTAGATTAAGCTATGATCTAAAAGGTGTGTTACTGCTAGGTTAAGCTACGGGATATGATCCAAATATTGCATTACTGGTAAATGAAGCTGATGATGACAAAACCTTGTCGAAACGTTGTACATTTGCTGTTATGTTAAATTTATATTAAAGTTTTTCTTCATTACCCATTCGAGCCGGTATGTTACTGCTAGGTTAAGCTATGGCCTAAATGGTGTGTTAGTTTCTCAGCTTTTCTTATACTAGTAGCTGGTAGCTTAGGCCACGAATAACTGTATTCAACTTACCTGCTATCTTTAACACCACACGGTCAACTAGGTCCAGTTCATAAACACATATAGGTTTGTCTCGTATCCACTCAGCTAAATTATGTCCATGTTCCATCGTCACGTGCTGGTGGTCGGTGCCAGCTGTACCGAGCACCAACTTACGTGTGGTCACCCGCCCCAGGGATTAGTCTGATGATACCTTAAAAATAAATCCTTCTACAACTGGCGATGTAATATCAGAATGTCAGTAAAGTTTGTTGTCATTAATTTATAATAGTGTAACCATTATCAGATGTTCATAGTGTATTCTCACGTGCCTAATTAAGGAGTTCGTTACAGAGAAGTAAAGTTTAAGTTGGTACTTATACATTTCACAATATCTTGGTGCTCTTGTCAGTTTTACGTAAAACTCAATAATATGGTTGATTCCTCGGCCAGGTTTTGGGGCTACAAGTATTCTTTATAAACTTTCCCACACTCCAGTGTCCTATGAAGTGGTGTGTTTCATACCACAGCGGACGCTACTATTCCTATACATCATAAACAGTGACACTGGAAACATTATTAATGTTTTATCTTCGGTTCAAGTCGCTCGTTCTTCTTGACAATAGTCTAGCTTCAGTACTGCTTGTCGGAAATCAATTAGAAGCCTGTTACCTAATATATTTCCATCTTTCACCCTAGTGCTATAGGTCTCCACTAGAGGGCGGCCGGGTCGCGACGGTTTGTTGCGTGTTACTAAGAGAATCACGATAACGTGAACAGGAGACGTTATTTACTTTCAATTGTATTCAAATGAACTTTCCACATGTCGTACTAATAAATTTACAACTACTTAAACGGTTAATGGGTGGCAGGGAAAAATGCTCGAGATTCTTCCGACAGACAACGTGGAAGAATTTCTAACATTTTGAAGAAAAAAAAATAGATAAGCAGAGACACCTGGTATCTAGGAAAATGAGCAAAATACCCAGTTTTGAATCGTAACAAATCGGATAACGAAGTACTGGGATATTCAGTATTACCAAAGCCGTCGTCTTTTAGGAAAAAACATCACAAACAAGAACAACCAGAGATTGCATACCCTCGCCCCGCCGTCTATTTTTCGAGATTGTATTCATTGATATTGGATATCGTCAAATTTCACTTTCAATAACTCGGAAAATCCTTCTCAGATCTAGAATCATCACCGATCCGAATCATTTTTTTGGTAGTGTGATGGAGAGTCTCAACCTTAATGTGCCCATAAAATTTGGTACAAATCCGATCACACTTTACCGAGTTATTAACCCTAAACTGCGAAAATGCGCTATCTCCCCATTATAAAAAAAAAATGCTTCAAAGTGATACAGAATCCGGATCCTAACCAAATTTGGGGAGGACCATCTCATACTGACTTTCAATCTTGTGTAGAATTTTCGTGTATATCGGTCAATTAGTTTTCGAGACACACACACACACACACGGACTCGATATTCAACCTCCAACGATCGTGTGATTAATGGAAAACTAGTGACAAAATGGAGGTTTAAAAATCACCAGTGTGGATGCGTGGTTAGTTGAAAAACAGTGAAAAACTTCCATCTCGAAACATTAATAATACGGTCTAGTGATTACTGCAAAACAGTGAAAAATATCCACCTTCAGGTAACAGTGCTCAACATAATAACAAAAGTTGCTCCAACAACATATCTCAAACAGCTGGAGAATGAAATGGGTGTTCGAGTTATTCCAAACAAAGATTAAGTGGTAAAGTTGCAAGATTGGTGAAACATCCTTTGGGAAATTGTTGTCCTCTTACATTAGATGAATTATAGAAAGCATGTAGGTAGGAGTGGTGTGCTTTGGATATTACAGCCTTTCCCAATGTAAGCTATGCTGCAAGAATATTATCATGATACAATAGAGCATGACTGGACATGGACTGTAACGACATGATGTGGCTCTAGAAGTGCTTTAATATAATGTACTCAACCTGTTTATACACATCATGTTACACGTACTATAAGTAATATAATGTACTCAACCTGTTTATATACATCATATTACACGTACTATAAGTAATATAATGTACTCAACCTGTTTATACACATCATGTTACACGTACTATAAGTAATATAATGTACTCAACCTGTTTATACACATCATGTTACACGTACTACAAGTAATATAATGTACTCAACCTTTTTATATACATCATGTTACACGTACTATAAGTAATATAATGTACTCAACCTGTTTACACACATCATGTTACACGTACTGTAAGTAATATAATGTACTCAACCTGTTTACACACATCATGTTACACGTACTATAAGTAAGAT